TTGGGGAGGCAGGCAGGTGGGCCAGCCTGCAGCTGAGCTCGGTGGAGTGCTGGTGAAATAGACCCGAGTCCCGATGCTGTTTCATCCATCGTCTCTCCTCCACAAAAGGATGGAGTTGCCAGCCGGGGTCTGCATGCTGGCCCCTGCACGGGCCTCCGGGTTTCAGATGGTTATGGAGAATGAGCCTACTTCCTGGATCCACAATCTCGTCCCTACGAATTCTGGTTCTGGTTTTGGTTTTGAAGACAGTCTTTTGGGGGCAGTGCTTACTTGTTGCCTCCTGTAAGGGCTCCTCGTTTCAAAAGAGCTCGTTATTCTTTCTACTACTTCCCTCTCTGCAGCCCCTGCAGAAAAGCCACACCACACGGGTTCCATTAAACACCACCAGCCTTTAGGTATTTGGAAAGGACTTCTTGCCCCCCGTATTGTCGCATGGAATCAAGGAGCAGTTATGCGTAAGATTTTGTAGAAGATTCGATGGGCCTGAGCAAGTCCTAAATGGAGCTGTTGTCCAAAAGCAGGTGGCCTGTTCGTTTGCATTTCTGCTTTCAGAAAGGAAATCGGTGCAGTATATTGTTAGAAGTTAGGGGCCTCCCCCCCCCCCCTCCCCGAAGTTAGACTGTTTGATTCTGTTTCCTTTACCTGGTCTTAAGTTTTAAAAGTCAGGAAAAGTGACTACAGTCTTGTATTTATTAAAGCTTTTGATGGCTTTTTGGTTCGTTTGAGATACAAGGGAAAATGGGTTAAATCTATTGTGTCATGTTCTATGTTAGGAGAAGTCATAAATACAAAAGTCAAAAAAAAAATAAGGTGTATCTAATGACACTGCTGTGTACAGATGACTGCCTGAAAGGGTTATCAAAATAGCTAATAACTTCTAGATATCACAGAAACCTCTGTAGGTAGTGGCCTGCCATCTGACGTGTTTTCCACTGCAGCGCGATTAAAAGGTTACCCACACCGTCAGTGTATTAACATACAGAGCACACATGCGGGGAGGAGCTCAGACGCAGGAGAGGACTGAGGTGTTCTAACTTAGGGCACTGGTACCAGGACACTGAGACCTGACAACCGTTTGGGCACATAAAGATTGAATACCTGTCATCCAGATAATATGTAAGCGTCCACATCTGTTTCCATGGGGATAGGTTTGTAAGCTGGCCATATCACTTGAACTTACATGCACTTAAAACAATCATTCCAAGCCAAATGGTTTCAAAAATTGGGTTTAAAAAACACACAAAAATGGAAGTTTAATCTTCAAGGACTAACACATCTGGTAATATTTGCCATTATTTGGTAGGAATAGGATTCTTAGGTTAGGCTAACATGCTAAACATGTTTGTAATTTGTTAAAATATATATCTGGCTTCTTAGAAAAGCACTGATCCTCCTCTATATTTTATTTGACGTTCAGGTCAGTTTTTAAAGCTGGAGAGAACTTGTCCAATTGGTGTATTTTTTCAGTTTCCCTTTTTGAGAGAAGCTCAGGTGTTTCTATGAAATGCTTTGACCTTATATTCGTTAACTATTTAGGGTTCCAGTCAGGAAAAAAGCCAGCACTCCTTTCTGGTGAAGTTGAAGTAGATCCATTGTATGTTCATGTCCTGCAATAATTTAAAAGTTTAAAATTTAGCCCAGCCAGTGTGGCTCAGAGGTTGAGCATCCACCCATGAACCAGGAGATCACGGTTCGATTCTCAGTCAGGGCACATGCCTGGGGTTGCAGGCTCAATCCCCAGTGGGGGACGTGCAGGAGACAGCTGATCGATTATTCTCTCTCATCCTTGATGTTTCTATCTCTTCCTCTCCCTTCCTATCTGAAATCAATAAAAAAATATACATATATTTTTAAAAAATAAATAAAAATTTATAATCCACCAGTAGTAGAAAGAGGTATCTTTCATTTTTATGTAAGTATCCTTTCCCCTTTTATAAGGGTTATTCTCTCAATTGGGAACTAATTTAATCTTATTTAATAATTTGTCCAGTAATCCTGCAAAGACCAACTTTTCAGGAAGATTTAGAATAGCACAGTAGTTTTATGAAACCTAAGTATTTAAGAGAACAGTTCCCATTGCTCTTATGATTTCCTTTAGAGGTATTAGATGACAGCTCTTATTTCTCTTCAAGTTGTAAGTCTCAGGTCACAACAGTGAATACTGGAAGGGGAAAGTACCTCTGCAAAGTGACCAAACAAATGATTGAGGAAGGAGGCTAAACTTTTCTTTTGTAAACTCTTAAAGATCACATATAGTAAAGTGCAAAAATCTTAGGTGTATATGTATGTAGCTCAGTGATTTTTACAAGTGTACACACCTGTGTAACCATTACCCAGATCCGGATGTAGAACATTATCAGTACCCCAAAATCCCCCTCATGCTCTTCCCATTCACAACCTTCCAGATTAGCTTTGCCTGTTTTGAACTTTATACAATATATGTTCTTTGTTTTTGGGTGTCTTTCCTTTAAAGCTGAGATGTAATCATGTTGTTTCCTGTAACATAGTTTCTTCTTTTTGAATGCTGCATAGTATTTCATTGTATAAATATACAAGTTATGTATCCATTTTACTATTAATAGACATTTGGATTCTTTCCAGTTTGGGATTTTTTTCTATTAATATACATTTGGATTTTTTCCAGTGTTGGAAACAGTAGCTCTGAACATTCTGGTACTGTGTCTTTTGGTGTACATACATTTGCATTTCTGTTGCATATATACCAATGTGGAATTGTAGGTTATAGCTACCGACAGTTTTCCACAGTGATTGTACTAGTTATTCTCTAGTAGCATTGTATGTGAGAATTTGAAAACCCATACATCTTTTTAACTTTATTGTTGAAAGTATTACAGATGTCCCCCCTTTTTTTTCTAATTGACCCCCACACCTGTACCCCCTAGCCTGTACCCCCCCACACCCACCCCAGGCCTTCACCACACTATTGTCTGTGTCCATGGGATATGAAACGCCTACATTTTGATTAACAACTGTTTCTATGAAACTTAAGCTGTCAACTCTGAGAGTATTATGTTTAGTTTACTCTGTAATCGAGTAAATAAATCACTCTAATGCCTCAACTTCTGTTTTTAGATATGGCTCGTGGACAGCAGAAGATTCAGTCTCAGCAGAAAAATGCCAAAAAGCAAGCCGGACAAAAGAAGAAACAAGGACATGACCAAAAGGCTGCTGCCAAAGCTGCCTTAATATATACCTGCACTGTCTGTAGGGTAAGGGAAATTGAAAGACATAGCTTTCCCCTGCACAGTTTTTCATTAGAGATTGGTTTGTATAGGTTAAAATTTTGCAATCATGGCAAAATAAATGCTTTACTGAAATAGTAGGTTTAAGAGTTGGTTATTTTAGTACTCCATCTTTCATTCAACAAATATTTTATTGACTGGCTCCTGTGGCCAGGCTGTTTTCCAGGTGTTGGGAAAAGGAGTAAACAAAGCAAAGTTCCTTTCCTCAAGGAGAATAAAGATGCCTTCTTAAGGGAAAACAAGACACTTGAACTTTGTAAAGAAGTCAGATCCACATTCTTAATTTAGAGCTCAGTAAAACTATGTAAGATACCAGTGAATAACACTCTTGTTTCATGATGGGCTTTTTTTCCTTTTACTAAGACCATAGTTAGGATGTCTATAAAACTAGAGTTTGTTCATATTGAGGGCTTTTACTAGAATTAATGTGTTTATTAAATTTGAAGAATAATTATAGCAGCTGCTATTGAGTGCTTTCAGGTGCCAGCCACTGATCCAGGTGTTGTATATGTATGAGCCCACTAATCCACACAACAACCCAATGAGATAAAGTACTTTTATTATATTCATTTTACAGAAGAATAAATTGTCATGGGGATTATATCATTTGCACAGGGTCACCCAATTAATGCATAAAAGAGCTTGGATCTTGCCTAGGGAAGTCAGAATAGTGTAATGTTTGAAAGCTACAGTACCTAGTACTAGGCTAAAGCATAGGTCTTGGGCAAATTAAGCTCTAGGGTTTAATTTCCTTAGTAAAATGAGGATAGTAGGAACTAATTTAAGATTACTATGAAGGTTCAGTGAGAATTCAGGTAACATGCTTAACATAATAATAGTTCAGTATAAGCTACCTATTTGCTGTTAGATAAGCAGTATTCTTCATTCTCTGTGACCACCCCAATGTGAAATGTGGGAATATGTTAGGAATTTCTATATTACATGGTCTTTTTTTATATGACAGCAATTATCTATTATAAGCAGGCTCAGGATTTTTAAAATGTTTACACATTTATGAATAAGCTCTAACTCCTTTTTTGTACAATTTTTGTAATTAGACACAAATGCCAGACCCTAAGACCTTCAAGCAGCACTTTGAGAGCAAGCATCCTAAGACTCCACTTCCTCCAGAATTGGCTGATGTCCAGGCATAAAGTTGTTTACAGGTAATTGACTTTTTTTGTTGTTGTTACTGTCAGGCTTGTATACAAGAACAAAATTGTTTTCTGTAACTATGAAGTTGATTTTTACCTTCTAGCTGACTTTATTGCTTCCTATTTTTCAGTTAATATTTAATTTTAAAATTATTAAAAGTCCATTTTCCCAGACCATATCCTGATGAAATAGAAGTTCCTAACTACATAGAAGTTCTATTTTCTACTAGGGGGATGGAGGGAGGCTGACCAACTCTGGTCCAAGAATGGAAAAGACATGTAAGCTTAAAGAAAATAACTATTACAAAGGTATTGAGGGTCTTGCTCAGAGAAATGATGCAGACCAACGTTCCTGAGTGCCTTTTGCAGGTACCTTACTATAATAGTGCTTAGCAGAACTTCCAGGTGCGTTAAAATATAGGGCAAAATGTAGGTACATTGTATAATCTTGGTAGTTGCTTGAAAATAATCAGGTTATATTTTCTGTATGTTAGAGTTTTTTTCTCATAAATGGTTGTGATGTTGTTGGTGTGAGAATTTTTTTTTTTTAAGTAAATCAAAGTTCAGTTTATAAAATCCCATTGGCAGATCTATCAGACTAACTTGGTAGCTTAGGCATGTGTTTGTTTTTTTTCCTTAGGCATTTGAAATGTATATAAGTTGCATTTGTGCAATGTTTACCTTCACAGAAAATTTTGCTTATGTTTTATAGGTGAATTCATGACACCTTTGACTCTTCTACTGTCTCAGACCTTAGGTAACAAACCTGCAGCTGCTTTTCTAACAAACTGTTGATCAGCAAAAATAAAGGGGCTACAGAAACACTCATTTTTATGCTGTTCCCTTTTGGGCTTCATGCAAAGACAATTCTGTGTAAATGTACAGTTGACTCTAATTTGGAAATCTGAAAATCAGTCCATCCTTGTTATAAAAAAAATTTTACAATTGTAATTATATTGATGTTCATATTGTGTAAAATAACTCATTTAATAAAGTAGTACTTTGATTTTACAACATCACAGGATAAATGGTTCTAGAAATTCTGTTCTAACTTTCCACATTATTTGCCTTATAAAAATCTAATGAATTCATCAGCTAGAATTGTAAGCGCAATTCTTATCTCCCTCTCAGCTCAGTGGCAGGTTCGTTAAACTAGAGCAGACTCATTCATTAAATTTGTGAACACAGTTTTATTGGCAGCCGCTGATCTAGAAGAATGACTTACCTGCTGCCTTAGTATATTGCAATCATGTGTCATTTTCCCCTCTGATTGTTTCCTATGTTTGAGGTTGGAATATTTCAATTTGCTGTATGACTTGGCTATAGCTGCCAGCCAGGTACACCCTGTAGATACATGATAAATTTCTAAAGTGGTTAGATCGTTAGTAAGCCCTTCTGAAAAACTAGGTTTTGAAGTATGTGTCATAATGAAATAATCAGTAAGCCTAGTCATTTATTACAAAATATGATGGAACATGTGTGAATTGGTAAAGATTTATCTTTTATAAATTATTTTGGATTCTTTGAAAAGGCTTCAAATTCTTTCATTTGAAATTGAAACGCATAATTTTGGAGGAGTTTTTGGAAGTTAATGATTTGACCACTTCTAGAATGAATTTTGCATTAACAGTAAGATTGGAATAACTTGTGGCTGGGTTAATTCCCAGAACCTTCTTCCTCCTTTCCTTTTTGAGTCATTGATTTTAGGAGTTTACTTTGTGCTGCTTCCTAAAATCAAAGACTGTGTACAATATGACTTCCGTCTGAACTAGAAAGTATTAAAATAGGCCAGTATCTAGATTGATTTGATTCCAGGGACGGGGAAATGGGTTGGTTCAGATGGATGAGGTAAATCCTACCCAGTTAAGGGAGACTAATTTTAGGGTTCTTCTAATTTGCTTTTGTCAGCTATTAACTTTATGAGTGAAACTGCTGTAACTCAGTTGAAATTTTAAAGTTAATATAATAGGAAGAACACTCAAATATTTCTTGGTAATTGTTTAGAGCCACAAATCTGATCCTGTGGATTAAAAAATGCATTCCCTCCTTGTGCTGCAACTCATCACTGCATTTGTTTTGTAGCTGTGCATATTCTGCCCACCTTGTTTGTCTTCACTGTAAGTTTAAAATAAGATATTTTTAAGGAAAATCGTCAGTGGTGATAGTTTCTTAGCAATTCCTATTCTTATACTATTACTTTAATGATTTTTTCATGTATTTAATTTCCTGAGTTCAGATTTAATATGTTATTTCCCTATATGTTGATTACCAGAACATTAGAGTTTGCCTAATTGCTTGTGGTGGGTATTATAGAAGTTATGGTTAAATTACAATTTAAAAGTTTTTTAAAGTGCTTTGAACATATGTATCTTTATGTTTAGCAACAAATCACTTAAAAACCGCTTACAAGTTTTTGTTTAATTTTTTTTCATTTGTTTGACTCTAATTCAGAATAAAAGCTTTTTGTTCTTGTATTTAACTCTTTTTTATAAGCAGCTGAAGACATCATATTTAAGTATATTTCAGTGATGGGAATAGCTGCATTCTCATCCTCTATGTGAGGATTATTAGTACAATCCCCTCTTTATTGTGTTTGAGCTAAATCTGCTATAAAGGAGAAATTAAAATTCTTAACTATCCTTGTTATTCAATTTGAAGATTCTTTAACAGATCCCAACAAAGTTTATTATAAAACTGTTATGGTGTCTTCAAAGACTTGATAAAATACACTGAGAGAATTGGTCCATTGTATTCTGTATTTCCATTAGTTGCCAAAAGGAATGGGGTTAAGATTAAACTTGTTTCCATTCTCCTTCGTATGGATCTACATCCCCTGTTTAACTGACACACTGGGGGCTCAGTTGTGTGCTGTAATGTCTTATTAAAAGAGATATTAAAGAAAACTAAACTAGTCTAATTTCTTCTACATTGTAGGGGTTTTCATATTGCCTCTTCTCTCTCTCTTTTAATTTTTCAACTTAAAATTTATCTCTTGACTTTAGAGCTCAGTAGTTCTAAGGGTGACAAGAGATTTCTTTCATTTCTCTTTTTTTTTTTCCTGTAGTCTATTTTGGATCTATAGACTATTCATAAAAATGAAAGGAAGAAGGTTGTCGTTCTGAAACCTCAACTCTATAGAATAAGTTGTTAGAAGAGGGAAGTAGTTGACTGTTAATATAAAAATAATACTAAAAAATGCTTAGGTCAGTTAATTGAATTGGATGGATAAGTCCTATATGACATTGACTTAGATTTGAGATAGCACTTCTGGTTTTATATTTAAAATACTGTATAGCTAATTACTTACATTATAATTGTAAGTAACTCAATTATAATTGAGTTCTGAAATGTATGTCACATGGATAAGATAGAATTTACCAACATTATCATTTAAACTTATTGAATCTGAATTCATTTGTGCTAGATTTTCATTTTTGTGGGGGTTTAGGGTTTGGTTTGGTTTTGGTCAGAGATACATAATTTTTGGAGTGTATAACAATGAAGATCAACATTAGGGGGTTGTGTTTATTGTGACTTTACATTCTGAAATCTTCCAGACTAGCCTAATATTTTCTATTGTAAAAGTTTCAGAAAAATCTTAGGCATTTCTAATGTGTAGATTTAATAAAACATCTGTCAACTGAAAAAATAGATGTTTTATTAATAAAAGTTTATCCTGTCATTAATTGTATATTACCTTATTAAGCTGAAAATTAAATGTCTTCTATTTTAAATGTTCTTTGGATAAACTGTTTACTGAATATACCATCTTTGGGGGAGAGGTTTTGTTTTTGACCAGCCATTCTTTAGCTCTAATTTTTGTACTCAATATGGCTTCATATTTTAAAATCTGCACATGTAGAAAGACTTAAATCATTTATTTATGTCCATATGGGCATATCTATACTGTGAAGTAATTATGTTAAAATCAGTATTTTTAATCATTTTTTATGTATACAACATCTTTTTCTATACATATTAATAATAGCTTAGGTTTTTATAGACCACATAGGTACCTCACTTTATCACTGTTTACTGTCTTATAAAATTGAGAATGTAGCTTGTATTTTGGATTCTTATTAAAATTTTAATTACTAGGAAGTAAGCCATTATAATATTTCCTCTATAACAGTGTAATAGTGTGTCTCAAAATGAGTTCTTATAGCTAGGGTGACCATACATCCTGGTTTGCCAAAGACAGTCTTGGTTTAAGTATTTCATATTAAACACCAAATTAATATTGGATAGTAAGGTAGCTCATTATAAGTTAACATTACCTCCTTTTACTCACACGTGTCAGTTTATGTCAAGCAACTGCTTTTTTAAAATGTAGCTTTAAAAAAACTCATACTCAGAAATTCTTACTCATTAAATGGGAACATGTGATACTTAGCAAGGTTTGTCTTTTAAAGTCCTTGAATCTATTTTTATTTGTTATTTTAAAACTCCTAATGGAGACTTAAATATCTGGTAAAATGAACTAGATTCCCAAAACTTTGAAATGCCTTTAATTCGCAGGCATTTAACATATAAACATATTGTTTGTACCAAGTTCATACTTTTGTTTTCTATCATCTTTATACCCAAAGGACTTAGGGAAGATGGCCAGTTGGGATTAGAGGTACTGCTACCTGTTACTATAGAACACTTATTGAGGAAGGAAGGGAAATTAGCATTGGCTGCAAGTTAGATGTCTCCTGGGCTAATAGTATTGAAAACTTACGGCAAATCTTTTGATTTTGATACAGGGTGCTTCTACATATTGATCTGGATCTCTGAAATTTTCTTTTTTATAATTCTTAATTTTGGAATACTTTTAGACCTACAGAGAAGTTGTAATAGTAGTCTAAGAGAGTTCTTGTGTCCCCTCACTTAATTACAGTTTACCCCTATGTTCTTTTTTTAAAAATATATTTTTATTGATTTCAGAGAGGAAGGGAGAGAGTGATAGAAACATCAATGATGAGAGATAATCATTGATTGGCTGCCTCCTGCACACCTCACACTGGGGATCAAGCCTGCAACCTGGGCATGTGCCCTGACTGGGAATCGAACCGTGACCTCCGTTCATGGGTCGTCACTCAACCACTGAACCACTGACCCACACTGGCCGGGCTTAAGGTTCTTTTTTTTTTTTAATAATTGTTTGTTTTTTTTCAATTATAGTTCATGTGCAATATTAATTTAAGGTGTACAACCCACACCTAATTAGTTCTATTCTTACATAACTGTGTTGGGCTTGTCAAAACTAAGAAACCAGCATTGGTGTGTTAACGTTAACTCATTTGTCTATTGACTTTTTCTGTTCCATGATCCAACTCAGAATGCTACATTGCATTTAGTTGTCATTTCTCCTTGGTTTCTTGTGGTCTGTGATGGTTTCTCAGTCTTCCTCTTGTTTTTCATAACCTTGAAAGTTTTGATGTGTAGGGAAGTATGTTCTAGAATCTAGAACATCCCTCAGTTTGTATTTGTTTAATGATTACATTAGGATAACAGGTTTTTGGAAAGAAGACCACAGAGGTGAAGTGCCCTTCTCATTCACCTTGCAGGTGAATGATCCCCACATGACATCACTTGATTAAGGTGCTGTCTGCCAAGTTCTCTGGTGGAAAGTTACTGTTTTTTTCCTTTTCATTTTCATATGCTAGTTTTTCAAAGTAAGTCTAACCCTTAAGGGGAGTGGGGATTTAGCTCCACCTCCTGGAGGGGAGAGTATATGTATATATGTATATTATTTGGAATTCTTCTATAAGGAAGTATTACAAGAAGCTCCTGGCTCATCTTGCATTTTTTTTTCTTCCCAGCCCTAGATTGAGCCATTTCTTTAAAGAGTCCTGATTCCTTTTATTGGAGAATGGTATTTAGAAACAAGATCTGGTCACTGGGTCTGAGGTTTGTGGCAGGGTATTTTTGTGTGTGTGCTTTTTTTTTAAATTATGAAATATTGAAATTCTCCCCACTGTTAACTAATATGATTTGAGGGTTGTAGGAAGAAGAGTATCTTTATCCCAGATTTTTAGGGTTTTCTACACATCATTGTTGAAGCATTCTCTTTTAAGTCACCAACATATTTATTGAGAATAAGATATGTGAAGTTGCTTTATAAGCTGTAAAGCATTACATAAAAGCAATTTATTATAAAAAATGTAATTAAGTTTCCTTATCTATAGAAATTAAAATGTATTTTAGGAGATAGTGCATATATTTATTTACATAATTTTAAGCTATATGGCTAAGTGTATAGACAATAATTTCTACGGGAATACATAAGAAGGAGATGACTTAGGAGTTGGAGAGGTTGATCTGTGCCTGAAAGGAGGGGGAGTCCGCTGGGGGAGGAGTAGGAGTGAATAGGGAATCAAAATGAGGATGGCTGAGTGAGCAAAAAGCTCAGTCAAGTACATAAGTTTCTTTGAGAGAAAGTGAGTAGGCCAGCCAGAGCGTAAGGCTTGTGAATGAGAACCTTTGAGCCTACGAATGAGAGTGGGGAGCGGTCATTAGAATGGACCCATATTGTGCGATGTGTGCACACTGCAATAAATAGTTCAAATTACTCCTAACACTGTGGGGACCCTTTCAGGGTTTGGGGGTGGGGGAGTGACATGTTAGGAAGATAAATATTTACCAGTGATATATTCTGTTACTGTTTTGATAAGAAATTTTTTTTACAAACTCTTGTACTTTCCTTATTTTTTAGCAGAGTATATCATCCATAATCTAACCTCTGATTATTCAAGGTCATCATGAATGCAGATTTACAGGCAGTAATTTTGCTCTGCTGTAACGCAGTGATACTGCTAGTGCTCAGAGTGCTGTATTTAGGAACGTTTGTCTCTGCACTACATGGTCCCCAGACTACAGTGTCTCTAAATGATATTTATTGTCTTCTACTTTATTATAACAGTAATACCTTTTCATTACATCTAAAAATTTGGAGAATATAGTAAAGTTGAATTTTAAATATTTACCAGGACAGATACTTTTTGATGATGATTCTCTCTCACACATATACACACATCTACACATGCATACATGCAAATACAGGGTGTCCCCCAAAAATGTATACACACTTTGAATGATTACGAAGTCAGTGTTTCCTAACATATAATTCATTTTCAACATTTAAAAGAATCTACAGAAATGAATAGTTATTTTTGTTGATGCCTATTTTTAAACTAATGACTGTTCTGGTCCAGGCACTGCTGATAACGCAAAGCAATAGAATCGCAAACATCAAGAGTCATTTCATCAGTATTTGTGCACCCTCAATTTGTTGACTGTTGTCGGTTTTGGACCGTAAGCTTTTATCTTTTATGTATAAGTTAATTCATATTTTTGTTTTTATGTAGTTATGTCTGCATGTTATGGTTTTGTCCTTTGCCATTTCAGTTAATACACATAACAAGAGGGTTTTTTCTCATGTTATAAACTTCTTGTGAAATTTTTGTGGCTGTATAATGATCCATTGGGTAGGTTTGCTATCTTCTTTAAAAAAAACAATTCCCCTGTTTTTAATATGTATAGAAGTCTATTTCCAACATTTAAAGATTTTTTAAATTGATTTTTAGAAAGAAAGGGAGAGAGAGAAACATTGATGTGAGAGCAAAACATTAATCAGCTGCCTCCTGCGTGCCCCCTACTGGAATCACGCCCACAACCCGGGCATGTGCACTGACGAGGAATCGACCCCCTTCACCCCTTACCCACCTCTCCCAGGCCTTCACCACTCTCTACTGTCTGTGTCCATGGGCCATGCATATATGTATATAAGTTCCCTAGTTAATCACTTCCCACCCACCCTTCAACCCCCGCCCCCCGCCTTAAGGGAAATTGTTATTCAAGACTAATGAAATCTGCTTTTAATTTATTGACACCTGCCTGTTGTGAAGAAATAGGAAAA